CACGTGTCTGCTGTTTTGTTTGCTTTTGCCTTCATTTTGAATTATTCTGATTCTTCTCGATCTTTTAGTGTGTTCGGCTGCTTCAGTTATAGAGCACGCACCCTGTCGTTCATGAAGCCGTCATGAGTTTCTCGCTTTGTCGCTCGGATTTCCCCTCAGATGTGGCGCTTCAAGGACGGAGGTCTGCTCTGAGCTGTGTTCCACCACTGCTGCTTTTACATCTAAGTAGCTACCAATTGCTTTAGGAAACCTAATTGAATTGGTTTTTCTGGCCAGTTCGTACTCGCCATGAATGAGTTGCTGTGAAATGAGCGGAGGCTTAAGCCACTTGCAGCCATCGGTGTTTGAGCTCCGAATTAAGCATTCCCATTTTCTACATTTTGTCTGCACTTGGGAATCAACAAATTTCGATACGATGCGTTTGCTGCACAACACGTTACATGGCGTTGTCTTGAGGTAGCATTAGTTGAGCTTTAAAATGATTTGGTGAATTCTTACATAGTAACAAGATTACGTAGTTCTGGTAGCATGAATTTATAAATTTTTTAAAGATGGGTTAAAAAATGCGAGGAACTTGCTGTGTTCGTGTGCCCCATGTTAACTGGGACATTTGAAAAGTTGCAGTCCATTAACAGAGAGTGTTTTTTGTGGGCGGTAGTAAATCTCAAATCGCAGAGGAGGTTCTAATTTGGTTCAGTAAGGTCTGGTATCATGTTTTTTTGCGATAATTCACTCTGGCTACTTTTTCAGGTGTTAGACAGCTTAATGAAGGAAAGAAAAAAGCGCCTTTCATTGCAGTAGCTAGTTCATTGTGTAGCTCGTTAGCTTTTTTGAATGCAGGACCGTGAATCCTGTGCGAAAGTTATCTCAGCGACGCATCATGAGACGAGTCTTTTGGACAAATTTCTTTTTGCGTATGAAATTGCAGCTCGAACAAGCTGGCTCGTCAAGTTGGCGGATGAAAGAAGAGCCGCCACTTGATTTCGCGGGACCAGCAACTGCTTCATCACAGAACAGTCGACACGCCACACAACAAACCGTGGCAGCCACTCATCCGTTTACAACGATTTGCCAAGGATGCCTCGAAATCAAAAAGTGAGCCTTTTCCCCCAGTCATGGTTTCATTCAGTACGGGTTTTTTCATCCAGTCGAAAGGTTTTTTTTTTGAAAATACCTTTGTCGCCTGGCTGGTTTGATTTTCTAATGCGATGTTATTCCATGCTGTCCTTCCAGCTCTTCTTTCAGGCTTTTTCTGGAAATGTTCCATTCTCTGTAACACAGGGGGCTCACAAAAGTGACCTTAATGATAGCACTTTGCCGGCGGCATCCGCCTAGTAACAAAGCTATTCCCTGAGAAACAGGCTAAAAGCGATTTTACTTCCTGGAATGATAACACCCCAACACTATTTTACGAATCACTGGATTGTATAAGGATTGTTATTGCCCTTGGCGAATTTAGGGCCGACGGTTTGGAGTGGAGAGAGGCGCCCTTGCCATTTCACCGAGCTTGGCAGCAGAAATATTACTTAGCTTTACTGATGATGTAGTTGCCCATCTTAATTCAGTCAGTTACATCTGGTTCATGGCATGAGTTGTACATTAGTTTGCGGCACTGTCGCATCTCTCAAGCGCACGCTGTAGACATTTGTGCCTTTTAGGACGGCAACTTGCGGGGTTTCATGAGAGGTGCAAAACTGGCTAAGACCTAAAAGTCGTGTTTCCTTGTAAGACAACATTCGCAGCAATAACGACCGTTTGGCTTATCCTGACTAAACCTTGACTTAGAGGTATTATGGAAAATTTTAAGGGGGGCGATGGGATGTACCTCAGAGTCTCATGTGTTCAGTTTTTGTATCACTTATAACGGGTCTTCGATTACTATGAGTGACTTTAAATCCGGACAGAAACATTAAGATCGGGGGCACGAGTGCTGATGAGCATATCTGGAGAGCAGTCGCTCTTTCATCTTTTAGAAGCAGCTCTTGCGTGGCGTTGCTGGATGCAAAACAAATGTGACGTTTTTGGTGTTAAAGAAATACATGTTAAAAAGTAGATAAGTTGGAACTTGGGTGCGTAGTGCATGCGCAAGAATGAGGGTAAATAGGCGTGGAAGTTGAAAGGTATGAAGTTTCAACGATGTGAACCAGGGCGGAAACCTGGTATCGGATTTTCGCCCTGGTTCGCATCCTTGAAATGCGTCTTTCTTCGGGCCATACACTGTTGCTGGATATGAACGGAAAAGCGGGAGGATGCTGTCATCAAAACGTCAGAGTAACTGATGTTTTCACATCTCGAAACATTTTGGACCCATAGTTTGCGAGGATTGGAATATTGGATAGAGGGAATGCATTGTCATTTGAAATGATTATGTATGCATCAATATTTATGCTTCCCTCAATTCCCAATATAATTACCTCATCGTAACTGCTGGGCTTTTACCACTGGTCCCTCTGCTGCTGCTGCTGTTGTTGTTATTGTTGCTGCTGTTGTTATTGTTGCGGCTACTGCTGCTGCTGCTCTTGCTGTTGCTTTTGCCGCTGTTGTTGTTATCTGTTCAATGTATTTAGTAATTACCTTTCAGCTATGCAACTTTCGGGGCCAGTATATGTAGTTCCTCGGTCCAAAATGACTATATTTGTCTTGCCAGTTTGAAGATTTGAATAATTAAATATATTTAAATCATCGCACAAATCTAATCCAGTTCCTCATCCGGGCGTGTGCGTCTGGCAGCACGCTAAGCAGTATTGAAGCACGACAGGGGCGTAGTTCCAGCGCTTTAAGCATTCTCGTGGCACCTGCTGTCTTTTGTCCAGCTGAATACAATGCAGGCCGAGTGCTGCTGCTTCTGAATAGCAATGAAAATTTGGTAGTGTGGCCGCAACAAATATATTACCTCTTTCTTAAATTCACTCTGTCACGAAATACTTTTAAGCTTTAACGCAGTCATCGATGGTGCACATGTAGGTAGCAGTTGGAGGTGTGCAGCTCGGGATTGAACGGCCTGGCATAAGTGCGTCTGGTTCGTGGGCGCATCCCAGTTTTATCTCCACACCGATTGTCCGGGCGCTCTTGACCCTTGGTACCTTGAGAGGTAGCAGGAACGAGAGGGAAACGAACAGTATGACGCGCTGTTCGAGGAGATTAGTACCGGCTCATACACTTCCTGGCTGCAAAGCTGTACATTGTCTGTCGATGTGAATTCATAGAACTCAAAAGGAAAATATTAGCAGTAGTTTTTAGTGTTTTTGAAATCAAATCCACTTCGTCATCCAGTATTTGTTGTGATAGCCCCGTCCCCGTGCATGTTGGGCGTCTGCAAGAAAGCTTTTCGTTTGGTTTAACTAAATTAAGAGAATAGAAAGGTATTTGATGGGAATGCGATTAAATGAACATTTTGAAAAAAGTACGGTCTAAGTATAATTTTACGTTAGATTCATTGGTTTAAAATTTAGAAAATATTTCATTTGTATCGCTTTTTGAATACGAATTGAAGCATCCTTTCGTAAAAAAGAGGACATATTTTCCACAAAAAGTAAAACATTTTTGTTTTTCTAGCAAAATATCCGTCAGTATTTTGTGGTTCGAATTCGTTAAAGGCCACGTAGTGGTGCTTTGATCGTTTTCTTTTTTGGGTATGTGTATAGGTCTTGTTTGCCAAATAAATGTGCTGTATTGTAGATAGTTTTCACATTGGACCAATCCTTTCATTCAGGCATTGTAAATTTTTGGACGTTTTTCAGGGAAGTGCAAGAAATGAAGCAACACTTCGAAAGGAACATGCAAGCACTGATTAATCAGGTTTGCGCAGCAACAGGAAATGAGCCGGGAGGTGCGCTGGCCGGTGCATCGTCCACTCCACGCAAAAGTACCGTTGCTGCCCCAGAATGCCCTGTTGCGTTGAGGCCCGTGCCAACTTGTATGTTTTTTTTATGCGTTGTTTGCAGCTATTCAGTGCGGAAAACGCATATTGACGAGAGGTTGTCTGTGTGC